CATGGAGGCCGGCGTCCCCAGCGCGGCCGCTGTTTTCGGGTGCTCCCTAGCTCCCTGCCCGCCTGCGACGGACCCCACGCGAAATGGTGAGAGAATGAAATTCTTTGCACGGCTGCGCTGGGTGGAGTGGTTTTGGGAAACAATGTCCTGCCGCCCGCACTCCCGCATCTGGCTGAACCGCGCGTCGGAATGAAGGTCCCGCAGAGGAAAGGAGGCGCGTGTTCCTTACCCGGCGCCTGCGAAACTGCTCAGGGACGCGTCTGCGTTTAAGCCCTTTAACCGCCTCCTGCTGTGCATGGACCCTCACCCGTGTGGAGTTTTGAGTTGCTCAGTGCCTACGGTTACTGTGCATCCTGGGGCAACAGTAATTAGAGAGAGGATTTGGGCCGCATGTCGGGCTGTCCTGTGAGCCTGAGGGCGGCGAGCGGCGTCGCTGTCACACGCGGCCCGCCGGCAGGTGGAGAGCTGCGCGCCGCGCGGGTGTGGACGCCGGTGGCGGCCGGGCTTTGCAGCCTCAACCCCCCCACCTGTCAAAACGCACTCAGGACCTAAGAGCTTCTGTTTGTGTGAGTTATGCCTTTCCATTTTTACCATAGTAGAAATGAAAAATGGGAGATTTTTCAAGTGTTTATTAGTTTACTTAAAAAACGAATAAACTTAATACGTGGGTAAATGACAATTTTAATAGAAGTAACTATTTTCCAAAACTCCCCCAGAAAATCAGTGAGAAGAGTGGCATTGTGGGGTGTGTTTTTTTCCAGCTTTTAAAAATTGTTGTAAAATATGCATAACATAAAATTTACCGTTTTAATCATTTTTAAGTGCACAGCTTAACGGCTTTAAGTACATTGACATTGTTCTGCAGCCATCACCAGTTTTCTGAGCTTTTTCAGCATCTCAAACTGAAACGATATCCATTAAACTATAACTTCTCATTACCCACTGTTCTTTTTGTCTGTGAATTTGACTATTTTAGGTACCCCTCATACAACATTTGTTTATTTGTGACTGACTTATTTCACTTAGCATAATGTTTTTAAGGTTCATCCATATTTTAGCATGCGTCAGAATTTTCTTCCTTTTTAACACTGCATAATATTCCATTTTATGGATGTGCCACATTTTGTTTGTCCATTCACCTGTCCGTGAACGTTCGGGTTGTTTCCACCTTTTGGCTATTTTGAATAATGCTGCTGTGATCGTTGGTGTGTGCATATCTGAGTCTGTTTCAGTTCCTTGGGCTCTATACGTAGAAGTAGAATTACTGAATCATATGATAATTTTATGTTTAATATTTTGAGGAACCACAATACTGTTTTCCATAGCATCTGTACCATTTAACATTCTCATTGGCAATGCACAAGGATTCTGGTTTCTCCGTATCTTCACCAGCACTTGTTTTCTGGGTTTTTTGGTTGTTGCTACTGTTGTTTGTTTTTTATAAGACCCACCCTAGGAGTGGCATTCTCTTGTACTTTGGCAAAACATATATGTGACTTAACAGAGGACAGCTGGACCCTGCGTTTAATCTGTTGCAATGTTTTGTTTTGGCCTAAGAAGATGAAGAAAATCCCACCTTTCACTCATATGTAGTTGGAAAAAGGAGTATTTTAACAGCTCTTTTTAGATTGTCATGGATATTCTTTTCTATCCCATCAAAGTTTGACCAGTAGTAGTTTTTTAAAGGTTAGTTGCAACATGAAATATGAAACTATCAATGTACTCCTCGCACCCTATTACATTAAAATCCATGGATCTGTCTTATATTTTGAATGGATCATTTACTCCTGCATGATTTTGTAATATCAAATATGCTCATTTGGAAAACAGTGCTTCATTTCATTAAACAGATCTTCCTAATTTTGACATGTTTCATTATACAGTATCAGTCATATTCCTTTATTATCATCATTATCTATCTCATCAAAAAAGTCTTCAAGTATTAGGAAGCTGGCAAGCTCACAGTGGGAGGTACCATTTTTCAAAATTTTCATTTTCATTTGAAAGCTGAAATTTTATCATTGGTAACATACTATCAGTTGTTGTCCTCCAAGTGGCAGGTTTTTTAAAGAATTTCTGCCAAATACTTAAGACTGAATAAACATAGTTTGTCAGTCCTTTTTTTTCAAGTACAACTAGTGTTCTAGGGAAAAAGTGGCTATTTCAGCTCATGATTCAATCAATTACACAAGTGCTTTTTTTTTTTCTTTTTAAATATATCTTTATTGATTTCATACAGAGGAAAGGAGAGGGGGAAAGAGAGGTAGAAACATCAATGATGAGAGAGTCATTGATTGAGCCCACAACCCCGATCGCCTGGATCCTAGGTCGATGCTCAACCGCTGAGCCACGCCCAGCCAGGCTTTTTACATTATTATTATTATTTTTTTTTTTTTACAAGTGCTTTTAATTTGGGCAACCAAATCCCCTGGACAACCATTATGCTCAAGAATGCAGCAGAAGTGCTTTATTCATGCTTTGCCACACATATATAGTCAGTGGTTGAGATTTAGTAAAATTAATACTCTTCATAAAGGACATTCTGAAGTGAAATTGACATTCTTAGCATATGAAGAATATCAGGACTATTAGGGCAGCTTGGGGCCACTACCTTGATTTGTTCTAAGGTACCAGCAGTGTTACCTACCATTGCTTTTCATTGTCAGCACAAATGTCAACTAAGTGAGAAAAGTAAACACTGTCTTAGTGTTCTTGTGGAATACTGTTAACCTCACGGACTCCTTGAAATGGTCTCAAGGACCCCTCCCTATACCCCCACCCACACGGATTGTAGACCACATTTTGAGAACCACTGATATGTGTTATTCAAATTCTTTGTTTATTCATGGAAGAAAATAAATGTATGAAAAGCCACACAATTATTACCTTGTTAAAGCTGGCAATGTACGGTAAATTTATCAACTGTTTTGTTACTTAAGGGCATATATTGCAGTTGATTTACATATTCAGTGCGAGGAGTCATTAACCTAGGGCACTTGAGAGTGGCTGAATCACAGAATCGCTGTTTCCAAATCTGTGTCCTCCAAAGGGAATCAGTACTCAGCAACATGGAAGGCCCTCTGTGTTCTCTCGGTACATTTTCCCTGTTTCCTTTGACACTTGGGAGTTCACTTTAGTGTTATAAGAGTAATTAGGTTTTTGCTTAACTGACTTATGATTTGTCTTTGGTTTTCCTGTTGGCCAGTCTGCTATACCCCCTTCCCAAAGCCAGCTTGGCAGCCAGGATCATTGATGGGAGTATTAAGCCAGTTTCTTGGGAATAAGTGAACCGGGAATCTGGAGATCAGAAGGGTTGCTGTACAACTAACCTTGTGACTTAAACCACTCGCTCTCTTGCTTCCCCTCCAGTTCCTTATTTTGTAAAATCAAAAGGACTAAACTAAGTGATATCTAAGATTTCTTTCAACTCTTGTTGCCATAGCAATTAAACCAGGAGAATTTCTCCTTCTACCTCAGCCAGATTGCACAGTTTGTGAGCCAGGAAAAAAACAATGTATATTATAGAGTGAGGGATTGATGAAATGGTTAGAAAATATGTATATGAGAAAGATGATTCAACAGTATTTAAGCCAAATTATATCTATAATAGCCCTAGTTTCCTCTTTCAATTAAAAAAAGAAACTTTGGTTTTTAAAATGACAGCGATGTATGTTCAGTTATAGAAAAGTTACAAAGTATTGACAAACAAAAGAAAATACACACAACCCACCCATCCAGAAGAACTAGTTGTTAACAGCTTCCAAGGGCTTTTCTACATAGAAACATTTTTTTTTACAAATAGGAGATAACACCATACTTATTATAATTTTTATGTAATATGAAGAACCTTTATGTACTATAAAGTCACAATGCAGTCCATAACGATAATGTAATTAATCCCTACTATTGGACACATCGGCTATTTCCAACTTCATGCTTTGAATAACAAAGCTTAAATTAAAATTCTTGCTATTAAGTCTTTTTCCACATCCTTCATTATTTCCTTAGTGTAAGTTATTAGCAGTGGAATTTATACACCAAAGAGCACCCATGTCTTTCAGGCCTTTGGCCCGCTAGAACTGGGTAGATTTGTCGGTAGTAGGTCGCCGGTCGTGGCCCCTCAGGGCCAGGCGGCGGGGCCACATAGAGGCTTTTAAATATATTTATTGAATGGATGGATGAAAAGGTGTCACCAGTGATAACTGAAAATTCAGCATTCACTTCAGATATCTAAGGAGGATATGCCTAGATTTGGCATTTTGATATTGACAGCGAGAGATACAATTTTCAGTAGAAAGTATTTTAAACCCTGTATGAAATAGCTCATTGTAAATTTCTTTACACACAGAAATAAAATTGCTAGGGGAAATTACTATGTTTAAGTATTATTTTAGACCTCAGTGTAATAAAAAAATTACAGAGTAGAATAATAGCAGTATGAAGCTTACTTAACTAACAGATACATAGGAATTTTGAGTGTTATCCTGGGTGAGTGTGAGGCAGAAGCAAAGCCATATGTTAAAAGACATGATCTTTGTCATCACTGGGGGTGGGTGGCATTCAAATAGTGGCTTGATGCCATACAGACCCAGTTTGTGGATCTGTAGAGTCCTATTCTAATCAATGAATAGTCTAGGAGCAAAGCTTATTCTAAATATGTCATCCTGAATATGTAAGAACTTGAACGAGGAGCCAATCTCTGAAGTACTGGGTCAGAAGCAACTAAGCTGTAGAACAGAAGACAAACATCTCATAGGTGGGCCTGGGTCAGCCCAAGGCAGGGGAGCCAGACGCCCTGGACATGTTTGACTTGGGAGTTACCTGGGACTGGGGAAACATGACACTGAGCAGAGCATAATCCTGAGAAAAGCAGAAATACTTACTGGTCACACCAAGAAGGTAATGACATGCAGCTTGCCCTACCTGGTGGAAAAAGTACCCAGGAGAGCCCAACGATGTCATGATGGTAGATTCATATTCTGGAACACACCTCATGCCTGCTTTGCTAAATCCAGCCCCTGTGCTGTAAGTATGTACAGCACTCCCGTAACTGCACAGGAGCAGGTGAAGGGAAAACAGCTTCCTT